AAAAAAATCCACAGTCTCTTATACTTTTAAAGGGCAATCGTAAATTTCTAGTAGACTTCTAGTCCTTAGTGATATTGACATTTGTGGATATCATTTATACTCAAAGGTATTATTGATGGTTACAGTGAAATGAGTTTAGTAGTTTAATAATACAAATTGTAAATATTGTTTAATTAATTAGAATTGAAGGCAAAAGGTTGTGTAAAATGAAGACTTGTAGGTAAGTATGAAGTAGACACAGTCTACTTAATAATTTTTTCTTTTAAAAACTTTTCAAAAAAGGTTTTTCATAATTTTATCTTTTCGAAATTCACTAAAATAGCAGTGCACACATAAAGCAAGTTCAAGTGTTGCAAGATAAGGAACAGGTATAGCAGACAGGATTTGTTGGACTGTAGAAAACAGGCCTTGCTGGATTCCCTCAGCTAAGCAAAAGGGAGTTAAGCTTGAGAGGCCCTGACTAGTCAGCCCTCTTGCAAAATCCTGCGGAGAACCCCAGCAGCATCTTCACAGGACCATGTTTTTGTGAAATTGGCAAATATTTTAGTAATTTGTATTTGGTTGACTTTATTATCTCTGTCCATTCAAATTTATTCTGTGGTGGGTGGTACAGGCATGGCTGGCTATAGGCCTTTTGGGATCAGGCTAAGAAAACATTGAGCTGGAGATATATTTAGTTTGGATTTAGTGGTATGTATATGATTTCTAATTATTTCTGTGTGCATCCAAGCTCTTGTTAGCCTTTCTAGTGTGATTTGTGATATTTAAGGTATCTTATTTATTATTCTCTTTCTTGAAGAAGGTCTTCAAATTGTAGAAGTTTTAATAACCCACACAAACCTGTCCTTGGTGGTTGGTGTAGTAGTATGAGGAATTCAGAGTCCTGGGGGAGGATATGGGGGAAAGCCTACAACAAAAGCAAGCAGGTCTGTACTATTGTGCCCCAGTCTGGCTGGACACAAATCTCAAGCAGGAACTCCCACCACGCAAGCACCCCAGGACACACCACACACCAACCAGAAAATCCCTCCTACGGCACTTCCCCAACCAATGGGAACTCTCCAGGAATCCCTGAGAGAACTCTAAAGTAGCAGGCTGAGGTGGACAGCAGGGGTCTAATATATAATTGAATACACAGCTTAACATAATCATCATCATCTCAATGGCTTGCTGGCATCACCTCTCAACCACTCCTTTCTGGCAAAAATGCCATTCATCATTCCAACTCAGCTGTGGCTTTCAGCACTATTGACTTTGGGGAGGCTCGGGAGTTGGAAGCCTTGGGCTTCTTTGGGACACAGGTCTCTGGATGAGCCTAAGTAGTAGTTCATTGAAAATATGAGAAGTACATCATTTTCCTGAATATAGGAGCAAAGTGTTGCTTTCCTTCCTTGTTGGAAGACTGGATTTTTTTCTCTGGCTTGGTGTACTGGGTATAGTACTGTGAAGAGGTTTAAGTAAAAATATGTATGCTGAAGACTGATTGCCTCCTAGCACATCCTCTGTTCCACAGCTGGAAGGCTGGTAAGCAGGAGTTTGGAGGTGTTTTTGCTTGGGTAAGGGACCAACGAAAGGGAAAGACCCACAGATTCATTGGTGAGGCCTGTGTGGCCTGCTTCTGTTTTTACTCCTGCTATGGAGCTGTGCCCTCCCCCTTTATTCTCTTCTTTCTGGTACTGGGGATTGAACCCAGGGGTGCTCTACCACTGAGGTATATTCCCAGCCCTTTTTATTTTTTTATTTAGAGACAGGGTCTTACTAAGTTGCCTCATCTGGCCTACCAACTGGTAACCCTCCTGCCTCAGCTTCCTGAGCCGCTGGGATTACAGGTGGTCACTACTGTGCCTGGCTGGCTTGATAGTTCTTTTTTAAAATATTTTTTTAGTTGTAGATGGGCACAATACCTTTATTTATTTTTATATGGTGCTGAGGATCGAACCCAGGGCCTCACACATTCAAGGGCACATGCTCTGCCATTGAGCCACAACTCTAGCCCCCGCTTGAAAGTTCTTGAACAAATAGGCAGGTTTAGGGGAGATCAGAGGAGCCACCTAGGTTTTCTGTTGTTTAACTTGTTACTTATAATTTTTAGTCTCTTGGTTAAAACATTTATCTATTCTCCCTCAGTGATTAATGCTGCTCATTCCTTCTACAATGGAACAACTACTTTACCAATATCAGATGAAGACAGGACCCCTCGAAAAAGAATTAGCAAAACATTAAATATGACTACAAGTCCTGAGGAGAAAAGAAAAATCATTGGTGACACTTTTGTTAAGGTACCTTTCTTTTTTGTGTCCCTGGGCTATTTTTTATGTGGATCTTGGTATTTGTTCTAGTTTTTTGGTGTTTTGGTTTTTTGTCATTGTGTCGTATAAAAAAATTGCTAATTTTGGATGTCTATTTCTGTGGCTGAGACTTTTATATATTGTTTTTATTATTAGAAACTGTGATGTTTAAAAACATGTATGTTGCCAGGTTATTGTTTAAAATTTAAAAATAGATTTTCAGGTGATATTGGATTTTAATTTATTGGGTATCTCTAGCTAGATTTCAAGCTCCTGAAGTTCACATACTTTTTGAATGATGAAGCGTATGTTCTTAAAGGCTGGTGAATTTAATATCCTGGTTGGTATTGCAAAAGACGGAATCATTCAGCTTAAGTATAAAATGTTGCTGTCTTTTTAAGAAGATTCATCTGTAAGGCTGTTTCACTCTTGTTGGTTATAGATTGCCAATGAGGTAATTGGAGAGATGAATCTGAAGCCAGAGGAGGTTTTCCTTGCCCAAGGTACTTTACGACCTGATCTGATTGAAAGTGCATCCCTTGTTGCCAGTGGCAAAGCTGAGCTCATCAAAACCCATCACAATGACACAGAGCTCATCAGAAAGTTGAGAGAAGAGGTAAGGTTGAGAGGACTCTTGACTTACAGTGATACCGGTACCTTCTCTGCCTCCTCCTGTCCTTCTTCCCTCCCAGTTCTCAAAGGTTGTACAACAATCATCACCACATCTGATTTTAGAACATTTTTGCTACCCCCCAAAGAAACCTCATTCTCAGCAGTTGACCTGAATTCTGCCTGAACCATTCCCCTGCCCCTTCTTGCCTGCTCTAGACAACCACAAATTTATTTTCTGTCTCTACAGTTCCGTCCTTTCTGGATGTTTTGTCTAACCAGATCATACAATATCCAATCTTCTGTGGTTGACTTCTTTCACTTACGTTATATTTTCAAGGTTTATTTTCATTATTTTTATTTTGAGAACTTTATTTTCATTGCTAATATTCATCATGTAGAATTGCATTTATTCATTCATCAGCTGGTGGACCTTTGGGTCATTTCCACCTTTTAGTGTTAAAGTGATGCTGTGTACAGATTTTGGTGAATGTATATTTTATTTTTTTTAGGGTGTGCCCAGGAGTATAATTGCTAGGTCATGTGGTAACTCTGTTCCGAGTTCTGATGAACCGCCAGGCTGCTATCCAATGGCTGTTCCATTTTACCTTCTCCCTGGCAGTGTGTGAGGGTCCCAGTTTCTCCATATCCTCACCAAGATTTGTTCTTAAATGTCTTTTTTTTGTGTGTGATAAAAATACATAAAATCTACCATCTTAACCAATTTCAAGTATACATTTCAGTAGAGTTAAGTACATTAATATTATTGTGAATCGGATCTGTGGAACTTCTTCGTCCTGCAGAACTGGCATGATGTTCTTAAGGTTTATCCACGTGGGGCACAACAGCATCATCTTCCTCTTTGCATCTGGATAACACACATTGTGTGCAGGTGCTACATTCTGTTTATCTATTTATTCATTGGTGGTTATCTGGGTTACTCCATCTGTCAAATATTATCAGTTAATGTGCCATTTGAACACGTACATGTACATGCAGTTGTTTAGGACGTATACCCAGAATCGAGATTACTGGATCATGATAGTCATATTTTTAACTTTATTGAGGGACCTCCATACTATTTTTCATAGCAGTTATCCCATTTTTCAGTCAAACTAATATTATGGAAGGTTCCCAGTTTCTCCACATAATCACCAACATTTTTTATTTTCTGTTCTTTTGGTGGTAGCCATGGGTGGTTGCTTTTGATTTTAGTTATCCCAGTGGGTGTGAATTGGTACCTAATTGTGATTTTGATTTGCATATCTCCAGTTGCTGATGTTAAATACTTTTTCATGGGTATATTGGTCGTTTATGTATCCTGAAAAAATGTCTGTTCATTTTTAGTTGACCTTTTTAAAGTTATTGATTTGTAAGTGTTCCTTATATATATCCCAGTTATGAGTCTTTAAATTAGATATACACTCCCATTTTGTGAGTTGATGTTTCATCTTATCATTTGGAGAATCTTGGGTGGGGAGGCAGTAATGGGGATTGAATTTGGGCACTCGGCCACCGAGTCACATCCCCAGCCCTATTTTGTAATTTTTTTTAAACAGCTTGATTATTACAATACATTGTCATCATTAGTAATTGAAGCAAGTTTTCTTTTACATTAGTTAAAAAAATAAAAATAAAAATATCTGTGTTATCTTTCAAGCTGTGACACAACTTGATTTGTATTTTTAAAATGCAATAAGGGCTTCTGCCAATCAGGTTTTCTTCATTAGAAAATCAGGCCATAAATAAATGCACACCTGGACCTGGGTCCTGTGCAAGTCCATGTGGGTAGATCTGGGCCAGACCTGGGCTCCTGTGGTAGTCTTGAGCCTGTGTTAAGGCTTGAACCTCCCACAGTTGTCTGCTGGTCGGAAGGGGCAGTCCTGTGTCAGGCTGGGCCTCGGTGGGTGTCTGCCCCACCGGTAGAGGGGATGGACCTAGGCCTGCTGTGAGCCTGAGTCCTGCACAGGATGATGTGACCCCTATTTTGTGTTTTATTTAGCGACAAGGGTCTCACTGAGTTGCTTAGCGCCTCACTTTTGCTGAGGCTGGCTTTGAACTCAAGATCCTCCTGCCTCAGCCTCCGGAGCTGCTGGGATTATAGGTGTACACCACTGTGCCCAGCTTCATTTGGAGGATTTTAATATTGAAATATTGTAATATTTTCTATTTGCCTTGAGGGCAAGATGAGTGATGGTAGGTGTGTGATTTTTATTTTAAATATTTTAAGTTTTTAATGTATTTTAGAGAAAAGTACATATACCACTGAAATATTCATCTGATTCCTTGTATGCACATAGGAGGAAATACTTTAAGAAGTGAATGTTTTTGTTTGTTTTTGTGGTGCTAGGAATTGAACCCAGGTTCTTGCATATGCTGGGCAGGTGCTCTAACTTTGAACTACATCACCAGTTGAAAAGATGTGTTTTTAAAGACAATGCTTTAAGCTAAGGAAAATGCCAACAGGAACACTATTTACTTATTTCCCATTGTTTTCTGTCTCATTTTGATTGCTAACTATGTTGACTGGCTTTTCCACCTTCCTTTAGGGAAAAGTAATAGAACCTCTGAAAGATTTTCATAAAGATGAAGTGAGAATTTTAGGCAGAGAACTTGGACTTCCAGAAGATTTAGTTTCCAGACATCCATTTCCAGGTAAAAAACAGAATTGATTTTATTTGATTTGTCTTTAGATCTTCATGATAAAGAAAAATTAATTTTGAATAATTTATCATTTTGAGGAGTTTTTAATATGAGGAAGAAAAGGATTGAGAACAAATTCTGTTGCATATCTACTAAATTTATTTTATTAAATTCTCATTTTCTACTATATTTGTATTTAGATATTAAGTGATCCTTGGGAGTCCAGCATATTTTAATAACATTGCCACTCGATTCTTAATGGTTGAGGTAGGATTTATATGTACTTCGTACGATGTATCCTGATGTGTACTACAGAAGTGAAAATAAACTTGATTCTCATCATGTTTCCCAGGCTGGCAGCTAGGATGATAGGCATATGCCACTGTGGCTGGCTTGGTGCTCTTACATTATTATCCATGTCTGAATTGTCTGAATGGTTGGACTGCTTCATTCACCTGCAAAGCTCTTTGCACAATGCTCTGTGTAACTAATTCATGAATAATAACAAAATTCTAGATAGTCATTTGACTGTCATCACAAAAAAACATTAGAGGTATTTATTAGGACTGAGAGTCTTAACCTATTTTCTTTTGAGCTTGGGCAACTCTTGAAATCTCAGTTTTAGCTTTCTGTAGTCATGTGTAGGTGGTAAGTTGGGAGAATGGTCTAATTAAAAACAGTAATAGCTACTATTTCATGGGTACTTTTGATGTGCTGTGCACTCAGCTAAATACTTTAAACATTCTTATTTGATCCTCACAATAGAAAATAGTATTTATTACCTTGTTTTCCAGATGAGGACAGTAGGGATGAGGCTAGTTTGCCCTAAGTTACACAAAATAGAAGGTTTAGTATCAGGGTTATATCCTCAATAGTCTTTACATCAAATTTCTGTTCTTAATCACTGAACTGCCTCCACAAACAGTAATTAAAGTGTCTAACCTATGTGGTGAATAGCACATTATCAAGCTTAGCAATTTTACATCTTTAGTCCCCAACTTGTAGGATAGTGAAAGATGATTGGTTAATGTTAGTGGAGGGTAGTCAAGTGGTCCTGTGTCCTTGTCATTTCATGTAGGATCATTTGATTTTCTCCAAATCTACTTTATATTTTGTGTTTTCTGTCCTATAAAATTTCTCTGGCAAAAGGATTTTGCTGCTTTAAAAACAACTTAAAATAAGCTGAGGAATGAGAGTAAGGATGATTGATAGTTAATTGCTATGGTTTCACCTACAACCAGACACCTTAAGTCATGTTTTTTTTCTGTTGTAGAAAAGCAACAGAATCTAGTTTTTATGAGATCCATGTATACCTGTCTTTTTTTTTAATCACCTGTATTTGGTATTTAGTAAAATAGAAAAAAGAGAAAGTATTTGGTAAACTAGAAATACTACTGGTTCACAACTCTTGGAATTAAACACTGTCATTATTTATTTTAAAGAGCATACTATTTTTCTTTAGTAGTTGAATTTGGATAATGAATATCATGTGGTTCTTTACACTGTTCTCTTTAATTTTGTGTATGTTAGAGAATTCCTTTATTAAAAAATTTTTGTGATTTGAAATTTATTTTCTGGAACTGGGTATTGAACCCAGGACCTTACAAATGCTAAGCATGGGCTCTTTTACTGATCTATACCTCCAGTCCTGAAATTAAATTCTTTAAAAACTTTACTTGGGCCAGGGATATAGCTCAGTGGCAGAGCACTTGCCTATCATGTATGAGCATCTGCTTTTGATCCCCAACACTGAAAAACAAAACAAAAATTTATGATTTTCATTTTTTTTGTCATAGTTGGACATAATATCTTTATTTTATTTATTTATCTTTATGTGGTGCTGAGAATCGAACCCAGCGCCTCAAATGTGTTAGGTGAGCACTTTACCACTGAGCCACAACCCCAGCTCCCTTATGATTTTCATTTTATATGAATTTTATATTTTTGGAATAATGGCATTTTAATTTTAATTTTTTTTGTGTTTTTATATTAAATGTAAAAATTTATATTAAATAATATTGTTATTTCCTAGGTCCTGGCCTGGCAATCAGAGTGATATGTGCTGAAGAACCTTATATTTGTAAGGACTTTCCTGAAACCAACAATATTTTAAAAATAGTAGCTGATTTTTCTGCAAGTGTTAAGAAGGTAATAATTTGACATATCTATATGGTAAGGAAATGAATGTCATACTCTTGTATTTACAATTAAGTGGAGTTTCATTATTTGAAAATTGAGAGCAACAACATATATAATCAATAGTTTCCCTATACACCAATAACAAATCTGTTGAGAAAAAAACCAGGAAAACAGTCCCATTCATAATAGCCTCAAAACCCCCCCCCCAAAGTTAGCAATTTAAAAAACAAAACACAACACAACACCAAAGAGGTGAAAGATCTCTATAATGAAAACTGTTAAAAGACTGATGAAATTAAAGAAGACACTAGAAAAATGACCAAGAGACTTCCCATGTCATGGATAAGTAGAATTAATGTTGCTGAAATGACCATGTTATCAAAAGCTATATACGTGCAATTACTATCAAAATACCAAGGGCAGAATTCACAAAACTGGGAAAAATAGTCCTAAAATTTATTTGGAAGAATAAAAGATGCAGGGATAGCCACAGTCATTCTAAGCCAGAAAAGCAATGCTGGAGGCATCACAATACCCAACTTCAAATTACTTTGCAGAGCAATAGTAACAAAAACTGCATGCTACCGGCATAAAAACAGACACATAGACCAATGGTACAGAATAGAAGACACAGAGTAATCCATACATCTGTGCATCTGATCCTTGACAAAGGTGCCAAGAATATACATTGGATAAAACCCAGCCTTTAAAACAGAGGGTACTGGGGAAATTGGATATCCATGTGTAGAAGAATAAGACTAAATTCCTATTTAACCCTGCACAAAAGTCAACTCAAAATATATCAAAGACCTAGAAATTCGACAAAGTTTGCAACTCTGGAAGAAAATGTAGAGTCAACATTTCAAAGTATGGTTGCAGGTAATGACTTCCTTAATAGGACTTGGGCTGAGGAAATAATATCAGGAATTAGTGAGTCTGATGGCATTAAATTAGGAAGCTTATGCACAGCAAAAGAAACAAGAATGTGGGGCTGGAGTTGTGGCTTGGTGGTGGAGCACTTGCTTAGAACATGTGAGGCACTGGGTTTGATCCTTAGCACCACATTAAAAATAAATGAATAAAATAAAGGAATTGTGTTCATCTATAACTATAAAAAAAAAGTGAAGAGAGAACATAACCAATTGGGAGAAAATTTTGCTAGCTACTCTTCTGGTAGAGTATTAATAATAATATTTAGAATATACAAAGAATTTAAAAAAAACTTAATACTAAAAAACAAGTCAGTCAATAAATAGGCAAATGAAATAATTAAACATTTTTCAACAGAAGAAATAGAAGTGACCAACTTACATGAGAGTCAAAGAAATGCAAATCAAAGCTACAGCCAGAGCCAGGTGTAGGGGTATATGCCTGGAATCCCAGTAGCTCAGGAGTCTGAGACAGAAGAATGGCAAGTTCAAAGTCGACCTCAGCAACTTAGTGAGACTCTGTCTCAAAATAAAAAAGAAAAATGTGCTGGGTATGTTGCTTAGTAGTTAAGCATCCCTGGGTTCAATCTCTAGTAAAAGAAAACAAAACAAAACTACACTGAGATTTGATTCACTCCAGTTAGAATGATAGCCGTCAAGAATACAAAAAACAGCTTGATATGGTAGCACGAGAGGATTGTGTGTCCCACGCCAGCCTCAGCTACTTAGCAAAACCTTATCTCAAAATGAAAAGGTCTAAGGATGAAGCTCTGTGGTAATATGATACCCTCAGGTTTATTCCTGTCCCATCCATACCCAATACAATGATAAGTGCTGGAGAGCATGTGGAGGAAAGGAACATTTTACACTGTCAGGTGAGTCTGTAAATTCGTACACCCACTGTGGTTATCAGTATGGAAGTTCCTCTAAAGCCTAGCATGGAATAGCCTTGTGACCCAGCTTCCCACTTCTCCGTATTTATCTAAAACAATCCAAGTCATCACACTAAGGAATGTACACATTCTATGTTTATGGCAGCACAATTCCCAGTAGCCAGACTGTGGAACCAGCCTAGATGTCTGTCAGTGGGTGAATAGCTAAAGAAATTGTGGTGTGTACACGCATGGTTTTATTCAGCCATTCAAGAATAGTATGGCATTTGCAGGAAAGTGGATGGAACTAGAGAGCATTATGTTAAGCAAAATATGCCATCCTCAGAAAATTAAAGGTGGTATGCTTTCTATCCTGTGTGGAAGCTGGAAAGGAAGGAAGGTCATGGAGCAGGAGCAGGGTAGGTTTTCAGAAGGAAGAACAGGACAGAGGGAAAGGCCATTAGGGGAGCAAAAGGGGAATTACTGAGAACAGTCTTGACCAAATTATATTGTCATGTATGAATATATAAAGACGAATTCATTATGTGTATAATCATAAAAATGGGAAGAAAGAAAATTTAGAGTAATATGTCTGAAATGACTAAGAAAGTATTCTACAGAGACTTAGATGCAGATAAAATGATTTTCTGAAATACTGAAGCATTTTAAAACATTCTTTCATGTGTATTGGAAAAAAGTAAGGAAAATACTTTGAGTCAGGAATGAATTGGAAGCATCAGTTCAAGCAGCCAGAGCTGTTTCCTTCTCTGAAGGCAGCCAGTAATCCCTTGTGATCTAGGGCTTTGGCTGATTGCTGCCATTTATGAATTGGCGTCTCAATGGGAGAACTGTTCCATGAAGGCTGGAAAATGAATCAGGTCTTCACACTGAGCAACACTTCAGCTCCAAATTGAGGGCGAGTGGAAGAGTCTCCTAGTCCTGCAATTTTAGGGTGTTAATTTATACCTCTGTTCTGAAAACTGCAAGATAAGAATTTTAATTTGAAGTGGACCTAGATTGGTAGTAATTTGAATTCTCCTTGAAATGGTCTTCAGCTAGTCGCTGAAAAATCCGCATAGACAGAGCTCCATACTTATCAAAAAACTACCAAATACATATAGAAGTAAGGCATCATGAATAAGAGCAGAAATACTAGCAGAATAAATGATACCAAATTAGCAAACAGTGTATAAAATGAATAGAAATAAAAGAACCCATTGCTGATAAGAAGAGGGAATAAGAGGTTGGCTACTAAATATGGGCAGATTAAAAAGAAAAACAAAAACCCCAGTTCCAGGAGTGAAAATAATAATTGGGATTATAACAGAATTCATGAATTCAAAGGTTGATATTAGGAAGTTGCCCCAAAGTAGGATTAGTCCTCAAAAAGAAATATGGGTAGAAGAGAAGGAGATAGTAGACAAGAATTAATTAATTTTTCCAAGCTGATGGAAGGCAGTGTCTCAGATTCAGCATCATAACACATTTCAAACAGAGGTGACACCCAGGAGGCGTGTCCTAGTGAAGTTATAGCTGCCAGGGAAGAAGCTGCAGAGAAGATGAGACGGTTACAAAGGCAAGACCCCTTTACTGAAAGCCAAAGTGACAGCAAGACTTATTAACTGATATGCAGCTAAACTGCCTTATAAGAAGAGAGCGAAGTAAAGTCATTTTCAGATAAGAAGAATTTCTTACCAATAGTCCCTTAGTTGAGGAATTAAAAGCAATGTTTTCAATCCTGGCTTTATATTAGAATAATTTGGGGAGAACTTTTGCCGTATTCTTTGGCCAATCTCCCTATGATTTCTTATTTAATTGGTTTGGGATGAGACCTGAACATCCCATGTAATTTGCCTCTGCAGTGGTGGTTGGGAACAACTGATCTAAAGTAACTGAGTACAGAAGAAGCAGAGGGATGGATTCCAGTAGAAAGATCTTAGATATGCAAAGGATTGGTAAGCAAAGAAATTGGAAAATGGGAAAGTTGAAACAAACATGGTCTGTGTAAAAATAAAAATCTCTCTCCTTTTTGTTGTTGATTTAAAAGTGTGTAACAATATTCAAAGCATCAAAAAAATACTTGAATTATTTGCCAGGACTGAGATGACTCTCTTTTTCAATATACTGTTAACACTTGAGACAAAGTACTAAAATAGAGGAATTAACCTCAATTCATTTTGTTCCATTGTCCCAGATGTAGAACACCTGTAGAAACTTAAATCAAGCAACAAATCTGCTACTTATGTCAACTGAAGTAATATTTGAATATTTATTATGTTTATAGAATTGAAAATTTGGGCCTCGGTGGGTTAAACCTAACTGGTAAGGGCTGTGAACCCTGCTGGGTGCAAAGCTCAGGGTTTGATCTCCATTACCCACACACACCAGTTCAGTGAATGGGAATCAGCCAAGAGGAATCCCCAGTTCAAAGGAGAGTGAAAAAAGGGAAAATAGACATAAAAATGGGACAAATGTGAACTGCAGGATAGATGCTTGAATGAATGATTAATCTCTACTAAGTCAGTTATGGGCAATAAATCTGAAAAGTATAGTGTTTATAAGATATTACTAATTTCTGGAGAGGAATGAAATTAAAAAGTAGAGAAAGACAAGCAAATAAAAGAATTGGACAGAGCTATATTTAAAAAAAAAATTGATCTTGTTGCAAAAGTTATTAGGGATAAGGTACAAGTTGGACTTAGGTGTTTCACTTGCTGGTGACTTGAGTGGTGTAAATTCTGTCTGTGTTTCATACCTGAGGCTTCCCTCCTTCATGGCCCAGCTCTCAGGAATGAGTTTCTGGTATAGTGTGTGGCATGTGCACATCAGGAGATGCCCCGCATGGGCCCTGTTAGGAGCTGGTCAGTGTAGCTGCGTGAGGGACGAATTCCTTATTGATGGAAGCCTGAATCTGTGTCTGCTCTTCTCAGCCTCATACACTATTACAAAGAGTCAAGGCCTGCACGACCGAGGAGGATCAGGAGAAGCTGATGCAGATTACAAGCCTGCATTCCCTGAGTGCCTTTTTGCTGCCCATTAAAACTGTGGGTGTGCAGGTGAGTTGTTCGAGTTCCCTGACTGGCAGAACTTTTCTGCCATTTGCTGCTTACACTAATCCTGGAGTAGGAATTGCTTAGGAAAATGAAATGTGAAAGTATTACACCAGGTTTAGAAACCACTGTTCTACTCTCAACTGTGATGTGAACTTTTTAAGTAAATGTTTATAAGATTTATAACTTTTTATTTTTAAGTAAATGTTTAAAGTTTTTTTGGTCTACCATTTAAATTCTTAATCTACCTAATAAATGTTGGTAGATGTTGTCTTCTAGATTAAGCAAGCTGGCTCTCCATAATTGTGCAGGCATTTGGAATTAAATCCCAGTGGACCTCTGGCATATTTCAGTTAAATTCTTGAAATTACCATGGTGCTCTCTTTAAACTGGTGGAATTTAATATGGGATTTATTCACATCATTTTTTTCCTTTTCCTTTTTCTTT